ACCCTACACTTTCCCTTGTTATATTTCATTACATTTTTTCCCGCCCAATGTGAGTTGCTATAGGATCAGGGGCCATACATTACTAAATTTCAAACACCGTTGCAGTGGACATAGTTGTTTATTTCTACGTATTTAACATTGTCTATGTGTAATGGTTTGTGTTCTTCTCTCTGTCAATTCTTCCAGAAAATATTTGACAAAGGCAAAAGCTATGATCTATCTCTACTGGTTTAAAAAATATTGCAAATTTAATGGTATTGCAAATTGATCACATTATGAGAGACATAACCTTTGCAAGTCAGTTTGTAAGAAATTCACAGGAATGCATAACTTAGTGGAAATGCAAGGGAAATTACATTAGGAAGCTCTGAAAACCACACAAGTGATGTGGCAAATAATTCCTTGTGAAACTGCATGAAATCGTAATAACTAGTTTCAGCCAGGTTCTTCTGAATAACTTACAATTCTGCATGACTTATCCCTAATAAACATCTAACTGCAAGAAAATGGGGAAAAATAATCAAATTATCCTCATATTGTATCTATTTACTCCAACGTAGGACACTCTAATGTTACTATGTAACTGCAAACGTAGCAACTCAGAAGAACTAATGTTTTGTTTGATATCTCATAAGGAATTTGCTTTGTAGCACTTTCTAGCTGTGTTTATTTTCATATTCCGAGTAGCTTGAAAAAATATTTTTAGTAAGAAGAAATTTATACTGTACCCATGTGCACAGTTCACAGGTTATTGTAAGTACACTGAAATGTGTTAGATTATCACATATAAGCAGACAGTTTATAAGATAATCAATATCTAAGTACTCACAATTTAATTCTTCAGTTCTCTTTATTTCACTCAGTTACCTTCTTAACAGTTTTCAATTTTAGCTCAAAGCTGGCTGCAAAGCTGATGTTTATATTTCTGCACTGTAGATGTGTTTGACAGCCAATTGCTAGAAAAGAGCTTTCTATTTGCACTGCCAGCTTTACACATTATGTGGTTTTAGACAGCACTTACTTCCTTATGTTCAGACACTGAAGTATGCTAAGCAGTCGTCTGAAGTTTGAAAAACTACCTTCAAAAAAGGTATATTAATGTTTTCAGGTTTTTTTACTAAATGCTATTAAATAACAGAATGCATTCTACATGGATTTGAAATTCTTTTATTAACAAGGAAGAGAGATTAAATATATTATCACAGGGATTCTCCTAATCGTTGTGAGCAAAACATGATCAGAAGCCAGGATGGTGAAAGCAGCTGAAAGCAGAGCCTTGATGGAACTGTAAAATCACAACAACCTTACATATGCTTAAACAAATAGAAATATCTGTCACCTTTAACTGCACTGGCCTATTGTACTTTTTTCTGCCTTCACTGATCCAGGCTAAAGCTTGTCTAGTTTGACAGATTTTGTAAGCAGCCTTCAAATTACTGCTGTGGGTATGTAGTGATTAACTTTTTTATTCCTCTTCCGCAATCCTAAGAGTATGTATTATAACATACTACTCTGACATTCACTTGAGAAAATCATTTGAAAAACACAAAGAGGTCTTAGCACTCAAGTGCAATATATTCCGTTCCTGAGAATGAAGCCTAGCAAGTTATAATAAGCCTTTAAAGAGGAAAGAAAAAATACAGCTCAAACAACATGGAAGAAAAGCTCAGAACAGTATGAATAAGATGATGATGATTAAAGGAATAAAAGAGAAGGATTTGGTATATAACTTCTAATAAAAAGAGAAGGTTCTAATAAAAGAGAAGGTTATATTTGGTATATAACTTCTGAACTTCTGGCTAGCATGTTGAATGGGAAATCCCCATGGCTTATGGTTTTTTACAACCTTCCCTGTCTTTTTGTCTGTATTGAGGAAGGAGCAGCGAGACAGACTCTGCTTGCAGTAGAAACTGGCAGCCAAAGGGGAACGGTCTTCTGAAGTCCTGCTTGGAGACTTCACACAGTCTTACAGGTAGCAAAAATGACAGCATAGTTTGTGTCCAGGACTGACAAGATGGAGGAGGGAGTAAATGACTTTACTCCTATTTTACTGAGTTGGAGAAAGAATGGCAAGTGCAGGAGGTGCTGTTAATTATAATGCCTGAAGCGCTGACTTGTTAATATAAATGCTTGACCCCAAGCAGTAGATGACAGATACGTTTCTTTTTCCCCCATAAAGGCACAGAACAGGGAATGTGTTTTGCCAGAGAAAAACTGTGTACAATTTTTGAGGTTCTCTATACCCAGCTTTCTTATCTCCTGTTGTGAACCACAGTACACTATAGAGGAAATAATAGAGAATGAAATGAGATGGGAAAGGATTTCTCTTTGGCAATAGGACACAATTTCATTATGTGTTTCCAAGTATCAGGAACAGTTGGGTTAAAAAAATCAAGACCTTTTTACAGGAGCAGTGTCTGCTGGAACATGAGAAAGGAACAGCAGTCTGCGTTCAGAAATAGTTACATGAACTCCAAGTAGGCAGAAAGCCAACTACAAAAAGGTGCCAGCCATCTGAGGCCACTTGACACAGGACACTTGGGCGTTAAATAGCTGCAGAAAGCGGTGACTAAAGGCGACAGTCCAAGCTGCGGTGGGACACGGGTCATGTGTGGTGGCGGTGTTCTCAGGGCAGAAGGGAAGACAGATGGTATTCCCAAATGGAAAGGGCCAAGGCCAGAATTAGAAAACCAGAAAGCTTTAGCTATCGTCTGGCTTAACATAAGGATTCAGAAGCAGCAAGGTATGTAAGAAATACTTACAGGAAAACGAATCTGAGACCATGCTTTGGAATGAAGATGGTAGAAACAAATTGAATTGTCTTTGTTGCCATCACAACCGCTGAAGGTGAACATGTGATTGTGGATTTGGGGAAGACTTTGCATCTGGGGGTATGGTTTCCTCCCTCTTAGGAAGTTCCCCTGGCAAGAGGAACAACTTCTGTGAGACAACACTGGCAATACATAACAATTCTAATTAAAAATTAATGCTGTGATTAACTGGAGATAAATTTGTAGAGCTGTTCAGGAATGGCTTGGGTAGTCCTACAGTCCGGATTTTTCTTCTAATATGAATCTTTGTGAGAACAAATGTGGGTTTATCTCTTCCTCTTTTCCTCTTATCTGTAAAAACAAATATAACTTTCTTTTTTCTCGTGAGACATTGAGTGAAAATAGATAGTAAAAATTAGTAATTCAACCTGATGGGGAAGAATGATACGTGACACGTACAAAAAGGAAAATGATGCTCTAACCAGGAAGGACTTAGGAAGATTCAGTCACATTCCTGAGGGTTCTTTTGTATGTTGGTCATAATCAGTGAATTAGAACTAAGAGATTTTTAGACCCTAATCTTGTCTCCAGGTTTTAAACAGCAGTTCATTCTAGTGTATTATAAGATGATACCAAGAGGTATGCAATGAAAAACTGTTTGTGCACAGTTGCAGTATGAATATAAACAGAGACAAAATTAGCAAATCAAATAGAATAAAAAAGCAGTAGCAAAGAATAAACAGAAACATAAAAGAAGCCATCTGGAATCAAAGATACTCAAATGACACGGTAGGAAACTGAGGCAGACAAAAGCAGAGTTTACACTCTTAAATGAAAGTGTTAGGGATATTACTGCTTTAATTCTCTTTGAATATGGTTATGAAACTGCAGCTGAGAAGTGTGAGCAGTAATGTCTTTTGACAGTTACTCCAGAGGCTTCAAGTTACATGATTCTCATATCTTAAATGAAACCTTTGTCATCCACGGACATGTCTGTTTCCTTTCTGAAAGTGTTCCAAGTACTGACATTATGTCAGGTACATCAAGTCTATGCCCCAATTTGCCATTACCCTGAATAATAATGCAGAATATTTGGTTTTCCTTTTCCCCCTTGTGCAGCCATAATTCTCATTACTAAAGATGGGATCAGCCTATCCATGGAGAAAATGAAAGATGATGTTAAATTGAAATTACCTTCACTTTATTAATTCTGTGTTTTGTGCAAATGAATTGAATCTATCTATAATAGTTTAATTATGAATGAGTTTTTAAACTGTGGGTCATAAATAAACGTGCTTGTGTCCATTATATGTCAGAGAATGTCAACAATGCACACAAAAACCTTCAGCAATCTAATGATGTTTGTATTTTTAGGGGAAAAAAAAAAAGCCTGCAAAGTCATACAGAAAGAAACACATGACTAATAATGTGCATTACAGATTTTGAAAGCATTGTTATATATATAAATGGTTGTAAAAACCACTAAAATACTTCCATACTTTGAAGGAGTAAGCTGGAGCTTCTTAGAACACACCACTTTTCTAAAAGAATCATAAAAGATGAAAATTTTGTCTCTAACATCATTAGATGGGGTCTGCCTCATAAATCAGGAACTTTAATGCAAGACATGTATGAAAAAAATAGGAGAACCTGAAGCATTAGAATAGTGTTGCAATGTTGTGTGTGTTTCAGTGTAAAGTCAGGTGAAAAACAGTGATGCATTAGTTAATCCCTTAAAAAAGATTTCAGAGTTAGGAAGGAGAAGTGTGTGATGCAAATTTTAAAATGAAGTTTTAAGGGCAGATTATGCCTTCTCCCTTGAAACAAGTAAGAGGTAATTCCCTTGTAATTACACGAGAATGAATTAATTACTTTCTAACAAACTCAAATAAAAACCTGACTACATAATGCCGCCTTCTCTTTTCTTAATTAAAAAAGTCCAGGAGCATTTTCATAACACGTAGATTTTCCCCTCTCGTGAATTATTGATAAATCTATGCTTTTTTACCAATATGAGGAAATTGGGGTTACAAATCCTCCCTTTGATGATGCGTCTCATTACGGGCTAGTCTGCATAAAGTTGTGCATCACCGAGATTCCTGGAGAGGTCTTGATGTGCCCAGTCCTACTACAAAGGCCAGTCAGCAGCTTTTTGCTAATTCTGCCTATGGACCGGACACAAGTGCATTATGTACTTTCCTGATGGTGAACACATGGCTTGAACATGAAATTCATTGTGCTGAGCAAGCTGTTGTTTTGACTACCATTGATTTGCCAGGTAGCTGACTGAGAGCAGGTGAGACAGTTTCCATCTGCAGAACAGGCTCATAAATCTCTCTGTGTTCAGAATTGCCACAGAGCCCCACAAACCTAGCTTGGAGCTCCAGCAGCCTTCGTCCAGGCATTAAGTCCTTGGCCACATACATTATTTTGAACCAAGTATTTGTTAAGAAAATGTGATTAAAAATATGATGCACAAATATCTATGAAATAGGAAAATTTAGTATCAGTAGCGCGTTCATGCATTTGTTTTTTACTGCAGAGTAGTATTTTTACATCTACAAAATATAGAGGCTCTTTGAATATAGTTTCATTGCTGCGATTTCTCTTGCATTGATTATAATTATGCAGGTTTGCAATGTATGTACAAGGGAGACTATAAATATGTTATATATTTGAATAGTGTGCTGGCAATACTTTTAGATATGCATTCATTATTAGGAAAAATAACGTTCGTTTTGTGGAAGAACACCATGCTGCTGCCATTAATACTGACCTCATTATCATCTGCATTATAACATAGAATAGCAAAGGAATTAATAATGATTAGAAAATGCAGTGTTCAGAGGGTTCATTCTGAATGAAGTTCATGTTTTAGGATTGGCCCTGTGCTGAGGCTACATAGGAGCCGTTAACACAGTGTATGTGCGTCGCTGTTAAAACTAAGGGAGGATCCCAAACCTCTTCTGTTGCCATAAATCCAGGAACAAATTGGGTGATGAGGTTGCGTCTGCTGCTTTAAGGGAGAGAGGTGTTTGAATTTGTTGTCCCACAGGGAGGGCAGTGGTGGAGGAAGAAGATTTCACTTCCTTTGAAGTCTAATTAAGTGAATCTCACATAAAAGAAATGAGTTTGACTCACTCTGAACGTGATTAAGTTTTCCGGTAAACATGCTTTTCTGTTTGTTTTGGGATGCTGTCTAGTAGTGGGACGTGGGGGGTAGCTATAGATGACTCTTTTTTTAAATTAGGAATTCTTTTTCATGTTTCTTGATATTGCTCTGAAAAATAAGAGGTCAGCTTCTGAGCACAGGTGCAACAAAAGCTACAAGTGTGGAAAGCAGTTTCACATTTATATTATTTGTGAGGCTTTTTCAGGCAGAAACTGATATTCATTTATTGTATTGACTATGCCTCTCTATCATTCACCTAGACCCTAGATAATTATGTGCTTAATGATCTTTAACCTTCACATGAACACAGCGTGCTGAAGCTTGACGATTGTTGTAAATTATCATTCACGTCTGGTAAAAGAGAGGAAATAATATTTGAAAAAATACTGTGCTTTCTGGCTTAGAATTTTACTTCAACTCTGTGATTTAACTTTGTAAGTAGATGATGATGTTTTAATCCTAAATCCAGACAATGAAATGATTTTGGAAAATAGCTCTTCTATAGTTCATTTATTATAATACTTTGATGTTAGAGTGTGAGAACTTCAAAACTGAGAAAAGATATTTTAATCTGTCCGTCTGGATGCTCACCACGAAAAGTACATATGATTTCAGTAAGTGCCATATTTATGGCTTGGTTTTTATTGAAGAACTAAAAAAAAACCCTGTATTTTTTGCCACTATTAATCTTTGGGTACAAAACTGATTCTTCCACCAATGAGACTCAGTTTCAACTTTAAGATTATAAAATGTTTCTCTCTCTTCCACTATTGGTTTAATGTTTGGCCCTTCATTTTATGGTGTTTCAAATGGCAATATTTATTTATTTATTTTGATACAGAGGACTTTAGCTTATTAGTAGACTTTTTTCATTGTATCTGTGGGTATCTTAGTAGCACTGCAGAGGTTTTAGAGCTCTGAATTAATTTGTACCAGAACTGATTCATGGCTGTAACTTCTATTGGATTATATGGGTAGAACTTACACCAGCCTCTGACAGCCTCTCCTACTTACTGTCAAATAGCAAACTGGGGAGTCTTCAAGCATTTTCAGATATCTGTGTGGATATCTAGTTTACCCAATCAGTGCAGTCTTAAAAATCCGGATTATATTTTTTCATTGTAAAACTATGTTTAAGTGGCTGAGCTGAGATGTTCCCAATTGCTTTGCTGAGTTGTGTCTGTCCAGACAATGTTGTGATATAATGTCACTGTAATTCAGCTATGAATATTCTGCCAAAACCTTCATGTGCAATATTAATAATGTATAGATTTTTTTTCAGGGATCAAACAGATGCCTGAAATATAAACAATCTGTTTCAAACTCAAAACAGATTCTGGAATGATCTTGAAAGGCTCTGAGACCCTGAAAACAATTTTTTGGGTTGCTAACACCTTGGTAGATTATAATTCTGCTCATAAGGACAATAATCTTTGAAACAAATGAAAAACAGCCTGCAAAAAAGTTCTATTAATGTGTTACTGGGCAGATGAAAGTGCAGTACCAACCAACAGGAGAGTGCTGTTGAGTTAAATTAACATAACATAAATTATGGTGATTGTTCTCAAGTAAAAGCTGATGACAACCACAAAAAGAAAAACAGATTGATTTTTTGGAAAAAGGACTCAGCTCTCACTTGATGTCTGTGTGTATGTGCATGTGGGTTGAGTAGGAAGAGTGAACTGGATTGAGTCATTCATATTCACAGACAGTTAAAGTGCTTTTAAAAAGTTGTTAATGCAGTGGTGTGGTAATAATGGGTGGCCCGCAAAACACACAGGATCAAGTTACACCTCTTGTAGTCAGTGGAAGTTCTGCTATTATTGCTGCGAAGAGAATACACTGGTGGCCCAGGATTTTGTTTGTATAATAAACCAGATCAACTGGAAAATCAGACCTGACTGCCCTTGTCTGCTGTGCCCATTGCAAGAATTTGAGATTCCTTTTTTGTATGGTGCTGTTAACAAGTTTTCTAAGCTCTTATTCCTGAACAGCTAATTTACAGATATAACTGTATGTGACCAATTATTTCCTGAAAAACCTGCAGAGCCTACTTGTGGTATGACATAAAAATCTGTTGGTGGCTTGATTGTAGCCAGTGTGAGAAAGCTTTTTTTTTAGCCCACACCTGCTTTAATATCCCGATACAGGTTTATATATTGAATTACAATGCTGTCTGGCCCTAGCGACCACTGCTATCAACTGAAGAGTAAAATGCATAACCAGCAACAATTTCTGTTGAGCTGTCTGCTGAAAAGTAAGCAAACAGGAAAAAGTCTAGTAGTAGCAAGTCAAGTTGCAGCTGTCCTAAGCAGGTTGTGTATACTTCCTTCAGACTATCTGTTGTGAGGCAGAGATAAATAATAATAAATGCAAGTTACATTTTTTTGCGATGTATAATTCACTTCTTATTTTTCATATTGAATGTATTATATTTAATAGTAAATATGACTTTAAAGCACTATTACTGTATATTTAAGTCATTATTCTATATTTTTTAATGTGTTGACTAATACATATGGTTCACCAATTGGTGAGCTTTCATTTACAAATTAAAAGGTTTTGGATATAATATGATATTTAGGACTTGGCTCTAAACCAGTCCTTTCTGGTTCAGGCTTTTAATTAAGAAAAAAAAAATCAAAGTAAGGAAGAAAACCTATTTTCCTATACTGTTTCAGATTATTATAATCCTACCTTGTTTTTCAGAAAGCAAAGTATAATCTAAATATGATTTCTCTAATGGGGCATTGAAGAGAATGGAAATACTTTTGGGATAAAGATCTTAGAACCTTTTAAGTTCTGTTAACATCTGAGTTATGATACAGTTCTAAGTTTCTGTGAATGCTGTCTGTTATGACATTTATAGATGCCAGTGTTCAGCCATTTTCAGTCACCTGAAAATAATCTGAAAGGAATAACTAAAAATAAGAAACTAGATTAAAATATATATTATTGTTAATTTTTCATTTGCCCTTCAATCTAATAGGTTAAGCGCTTTTTGAGCTTCTTCTTTTTGGCTAATAATGGTTCTGAAGACATTTACATTTTCGAACAGGGATTTAAAATATATATAACAGGTGCTTTCGAAATAGAAAGTCTAATTATGCCTATGATTACATTCACTTTTGATTAGTGTGCGTACTCTCCTCGTGTATTCAAGCTGAGATATGGATGACTGGTGCTAACATTAAAGTACAAAAGGATCACTTGAGAAAGTGTATGGTTAGACCAACGCAAAAAAATTCTGGGTGTAATTTTTGTCTCTCAAATGTTTTTTTCTCATTTTAGTTACACACAGACCTGGATCCTGGCAGCAGCAAAATCAAGTATATTCTGTCAGGAGATGGAGCTGGAACAATCTTTGTGATCAATGACAAGACTGGAGACATTCATGCAATGAAAAGGCTTGACCGTGAGGAAAAAGCTGAATACACTCTAACAGCTCAAGCAGTCGATAGGGACACAAACCAGCCTCTCGAGCCTCCTTCAGAATTCATTATTAAGGTTCAAGACATCAATGACAATGCCCCAGAGTTCGTTGACGGTCCATATCATGCCACGGTTCCAGAAATGTCTGTTGTAGGTATGTATGTCTAAACATCGATGAACTCTGATTACAGTTTAAACTATGCCAGTATGCCACGGAGTCATTGATGAATATTAAGATATTTATTATGTTGTTAGCATTAATTTGCATATTTTCAAATCTCTTCTTGGCCAAAGGTTTCATCTGCAGCACAATAGTACAGTCCCTTAGTAGTAAGAAAATGACTAACAGATGTATTAATGTGTCTTTCTTTGTCCAAGAACACTTTAATGGGCAAAATTTATGTTCCCCTTATGATGCTGCAGTTAGAGTATTGTTATTGAGAAGGATTTATCAAGATTTGTTCCAACACAACACTCTAATCCTATTGATATTTTGTTGATGTTTAATTATCTGTTTGTGTATTTTCATACACAGATGTAGCACTTGCAGTATGTTGATACATACTTATTTGTTTTCCTCTAAGTGCAACTATAATCAGCCAAAACCATTGAAATGAAAGATGCTGTGTCTGGGAATTGATGGTTAGACTCTAGAGTGGACTTAACCAATTAGCCATAGGATTTGTGCAGAAGATGGAAGGGGAAAGCAGAGAACGCTGTGGAAAAGATGATGAAAAGGGAAATTAACTGTGTGACAGGGGAGAAAAAGAAAGGAGCAGGAAATAATCTTCTTAATATGTTTTACTTATATTTATTCATTTTGTTGGATTAGTGTGAATCTATTTCCTCATGGATTAATATATGAGAATTTTAATTTTTTGCAGTCTTGCCCCTTGTTCTGTATTTGCAAATGTTTTAAGTATGTATTTGCAGAGATACATACTTATGGACTCAGTCCTCAGTCCCTACTGATAGATAGAGATCAAGTGCAGATGATCTTTAGCTGTCACTAAAACAAAAGGGAAGTAAACCCATCAAACCAAAATAATCTCTTTCAGGGTATTAAAAAGAATTCAGTATAAGCAAGGACATCGAAATCTGGCCATGAAACACAGAGTAAATTCTAATGTTTTCTATTATTAGTTTGAGGATAATGTACTTTTCAGCAATTTGTCTACATCTGTCAAAGTAAGATAATTGAAGGAGTGCCAAGGCACTTTGTAAAATAAACCAGCACCCTATCAAAAGTTTCAAAACCACAGTTCTATCTTATTTAGTTAAAAAGAAGAGGAATGTGAGGAGGCAGAACCATCCTCTCACTCACATTCAGTACCATGAGCTGTACCAGGTCATTTGCAAATATAAGAATAGTGTGCTGACTAGACGGTAATACCTGAGGTGTCATTGTTTTATCAACATTTCTCCAACAGATTTTCATATCTTGGTTGCATTGAATTGCTTGTGCTGAAACTGATATGTCAATTTTCAAGCCTGCATGTCAGTTCTTTTACCAAAACATAGGTTTAATTTGTTAAGTTACTTTTAATTATGCAGGAGCACAAACATAATATGAACCTGCTTTCAGAAGATATTTTTGCCAAGCTCTAGGCAGGAAAACGGCTTAATTAAATGAAGTATTTTTTTTAAGTGAGAAAAAAAAACCCGAGAGGGTAGAAGGAGGAGGAGGAAGGGAAATTGAAGGCAGTTAATTTTATATGAATGAGACTTGTTTTCTATGAAAAATGGAAAAGAAGATATATGCAGACAAGAAAAGATGGTTTCTGATCACAAAGGCTGTTATAAAAATAATTTATACCTGTGCATGTGAGCAATATTTATAATCCTTAGTAAAGACATACCCCCTGTCCAAGGAGTATTCCCGATAAAGATGAGCAAAAAAACCACCAGAAACTTTACCAGGAAACTAGTTAGAAGATCAGATGAATAAAAGTCTAGTGAATTGGCTAACATGAGGTTTAAAAGGCTATAAAAATGCAATGAGAGCAAGAGAATAAAACGTAAAACATTTACGAAAGAGAAGGAAAGTAAAACAATTGAGAAGTGTTAGGGTGAAAGAGGAGGGAAGAATATAAAGGAAGGTTATGAGACATGAATTAGAAGAAAAACTTGTAGTAGAAGACTGTAGAATAAATGGCCAGTGCCCAGACAAAGGTGTCATTTTAGGGAATAGTGCCTTTTGGAGGATAATATTTCACCTGTTTCCCCTAGCATGGTGTGGGAAAGAGAGTAAGTTCTTCACTGAACTGCCTCTGGAATCATACAGTTCCACAGTTTTACATATTCTTAGGCTTCACAGAAGAGTTTGGTCCAAACCAAGTTTATTCTATCACCATAAATATAGGAAGAAATTTGTTATGGATTAGCTCAAAGGTCTACCATTTATTGCCTTCATTACTGAAACTGTGCTAGTTTTGCATTTATCTCTTATAGTCCTTGAACCTTGCACGTTTTTTACGTGACATTCCTAGGAGTGCATGCTTTTAAGCTGTTTCACTGTGTAAACTCCTGCTCTTTTTTTGAAGAACAAGACCTGATTCTCAGCTGCCGCTTCTAAACTCAGTATGTTTACAATTGCATTTCATGCATCATGAATGACTGTAAAACCTGTCAGCATATGTGGTCAAGTCTGAGTCTTGATCTCTGATGGAACGGAATTTCAAGGCTGGAAATTTGAAGATGAGATTGAAGATGAGTTACCCCTTCACTAATGTTGCTGTTACTATTTTCTTCTGCCTTCCTCGTTTAACCTACAGGCAGCAACATGAAGAGCTGTACTAAATGATGCTCCATAAATTATTGTAACTTTCTTTAAGTTTTGTTAGTCCTCTTAAAATTATTTTAAGTCCTCCATAATGTTTATAAAAGACTTCTCTCCTTTCAGAGTTCAAGGGTTTTTATTCTTTTGCCACACTAAGAGTATTTCTCTTCCATTATCCACTTACTTAATTCCCCTTGAAGAGATCTCCACCCACTGCTAATTTCATCCTTTGCGTTTCTACAACACAGTCATTACTAGGCAGAGTTCCTATTCAGGATAAAACAAAATTCTGCTAAACCTCTTCTTTCCCTGAAATGCTTATACCAATTCTGACTGCTCTGAAACAGAAGAGGGACTCGTATGCTATATATATAGTACTTATGTAATGAGGATGCAGTACAAGGCATTTTATTTTTGGACCTCTGTGGAAAGCAGTGCATAAAATACAGATGAACGCATTAACCTTTGATTGTTCTGTAACACGATGTTGAAGTTCTAGCAGAATGCAGTTTTTCTCATAGGTACATTAGATACTGATCTTATGTTCTGTGCTGGAAGAGATGTATTATATACATGTCAGTGGTATTTTTGCATGACTATCTAGAACATGAATGATACACTCTGGGGGTGTGAAAACTGTAATGTATGTGAAAATTTTCTGTATGTGATATGTATGAATGCGTATGTATGCAAATATATGAGATTATCACACATCTGTGGCCACATTCCAGCCTTTTTGTTTTCAATGTTATGTATCAGTGATATCTAGAATATCCTTCTTCCCTACTAAAACAAAAGGAAAGGATTTGCATGGCTTTCTTCCCACTACTTGGTGCAAAGACGATTAGTATTACACAGTGCTTTCTCCGGTAGGAATGATGCTCACTTTTCAGCTGTCTTCACAGAACACACACCCACACACGTACTGAGTGGTGTGTATCGTCACTGTGTTCAGAGTTATTTTGAAATAATTTATTTCTCTCTTTGAGGAAAGAGAGGAGCACATTCCAGAAAAAAATTTTGAGAACTAAGCTGCACATTCCCTTATTTCATCCTTGCGTTCCTTTCTTTTTTTACATAATTCTTATATAATCTACCATAGTAAGCCCTGTTCCCCAACTCCAAAATGATGTACTTGCTTGTGAAAGCTAATAGTGTATGTGGAGAATATATTCTTTGCTGAAACTGAGCACTTTAATCTTTTAATTCTGATATCAGTTTTCTTAAGGAACTAAAGATCAAAAAGTGGAATCTGTGGAATCACTTCGTTGTAACAGTATTGCATTTCACAAATAGGAAATAATTTAATTTGTCTATAAATCTTGTTTAATCACTTTTAGATGTAAAGGGACACACTGAGAATGAAACTCAGATAGAAGCTTTTAAAAAGAAATTCAGCTAAGCGGTTGTGGGGAGGGACCTCATGACTTTTTTTTTTCCCCAATTGTCTGTGAGCTCTGTATGTATGCCTGCAATGAAGATAGCATTTTATGTAAATGAATGAGCAATCTTAGAAGATCCACAGGGGTAACTCAAACTGGTCCTGTAGCTTATTTAAAGAAAGAAAGAATTAAAAACCCAATAACAATACAAAAAGCCCCTAGCCCCCTCCTTGAGCATGTTCTATTTCTGTATTGCCTTCTCAGCTATGCACAAATTCATGAATTCCCAGAAAGCATGCTGCAGAGGTGATAATGGGAGCAAAAGTGGATATTGTCTCCCAATAGTAGTTTCAGAATCTTTTTTCAGGAGAGGAATGAGGAGTGAAAATTCTTGATTTCATTCTTAGTGAAGCCGAGAGTGTTTAGACAGCTAGTGTCATGTTGAAAGACAGAAGACGACAGAAGTAGAGTGACAAATGTGTTGGTGAAATAAAAAAGGACGCAGATGGAGAAAGAACAAAAGCCATAAGGGAAGAGAATTCTCTCATAGTTTGCCTGAATTAAGGTAAACAGACAAACTTTAATAATCTCCAAATATTAAGAATTCCCGTGACAATCATAAAAAACCCCATCTTAAAATACATAGAGTAGAATTTGGTCTGCCATTGCTCTAGAAATACATTTTCCTTTAGCACTTGACAATATTAAAAATGTGAAAAGCCTTAGAGTAATATTTTTGTCCTTAAATGTTTCTGTGAAAACTATTTAGTGGGGGCAAAAGATCTTTATTAAAAAGGGTTTAGGCTTTCAGTTGAGTTAGAATATCAATTTCCAATTTTGGCACAAGCACATCTACTTAGCAATGTTTTCCTTTGGATCAAAGTTTGCCCTTGATTACAGCACTGTAAACAAGAAATCACTCAATCTTATTTTTTTTTTTTCAAAAGCAGAACAGCTATTTAGTATAGCCATGTATAGTTGAAGTACACTGCA